AGGAATTTTAAAAGCTCTCGCTTCTTCAAGTCAAATCATTCTGATAATAGGTCTGTTTTTGCGCCGCCTCTACATTGTGCACTTAAAACGACACAGATGTAGCGCGCGACTTTGATAAGAAAGAAAGAGGAGAATTGGAATTCAACAAGCAAAAACAAGTAGAAAGAGCGCGTATTATTTGTAACGTACTAGAGCGCGTAAAATTTAATGAGAGACCATCCAGCAATTTTTACACGGTAGAAAACAAAAAGCGTTTTACTTTATTCATATGAGAATTAACGCCGGCGGAGGGTTTACGCCGCTACAAGAGATGTCAGAAAGGAAAATCGAGTTTAAACAGTCACGAGTGTCAATAGAGCGTATTACCCAAGATCGTGTAGCCTCGCGTAAGAAACCATTACCATCGCCGTGTTTAACATCCGCGAGCGAAAGCACCCGCTCCAATTAGCGGGACAGACCGTAAAACCCTCTCCGCGCCGGAAATCAGCGCCGAGATCCTTATCCGCTTTGTAGCCCGGGCGCCAAGAAAGCGCGCGCCGCACGATAATTGCTTTTCTGCCGGTGGCACAATGAAAATATTGTTGCTGCCGGCGGCGCGGCGCTGATGGCATAAATTTAGCAGAAAAAATAGAAAGAGTAATCGCCTTATCACGTGGGAGTACCGCGACGTCTCTCCATCCCGGTGAGCTTAAGCCTCGGAGGGGAGGGGAAGAGGAACGCTTTCGTAGCTGTTACGAGGGGAGAGGGTTTCCTCGAGTGCGTTTAACGCATCCGTCAATCTGCCGCGAGCGACTTCAGAATTTAATCGAAGCTACGTTTCGGTCGTAAAGACAGTCTTCTCCGTATAGCGACAGCTCCTCTACCGGAGCTACTTTTATATTATATAGCAAAATTCTAAACTTTATCAACATTTCATTATTTGATGCTACGATATATATTTTCATTAAATCTTAATTATATTCGCGAATATAAAACTTATGCATTATTGCTTATTAAGAAATTAAAAAGTATCATTTTTTTAATATGTTTGAAGTGTGCTAAAAAAAGCTGAAATTCTGAGTACACAACGTGCCGAAACTACTACGACAAAAAATACATAGTTACAAAACGATAATAATTTAACTAACGATGACGAATATTCATTTAAAAAAAAAAAAAAAAAAAAAAAGAAACGAGAGAGAGAGAGAGAAGA